AACGTAACGGCGACCGCTTGATACTCTTTTCCTTATGTCGGCATCACTTGTCCAGTTATCTCGTCAGACTCACGCATTGTAGTGTTCGAACATCGATTTCGTACCCTTATTCGCCATCTGTGACCGTGAGGTCTCTGCAACATACAGCGGCACCTGCCGAACCATTTTAGCCTTTGTGTGATAGCCAGGCGCCTCGATGACGTCAAAGTTTTATCAAGTGGGTTATTATTAATTCCGCTTTTTACACGCGTTTATTAAGCACCGTTCAACTTCAACTTTTAGTAGCGATGTTTTCTAATATCCAGAGTTGACTTTTCGAATGCGCCAGTCTACATCAAGTCAACTTTCACTGAATTCCTCTGCAACACTACGGCTTTCGACCTTCTCAAGAAAACCAGCTAAGCAACTTCATAGTCATTGAACTGCTCAATTTAGCAGTAAAAAAGGGAGTGAACATCTAACGCGTTTGTCCTCATCTGGCTTTGAAGGTAATTCGTAATTCACCCGATCAGGCTTTGTTTATCACATTGTGTCCTCACTAATTTATCGGTCCTCGCGAGTGAGCACTCGTCCGGCCTGCTTTCGGTCACACACACACACACACACACACATGTATGTTCGCTTTTGTTGTTGNCACCCGGTCATCCAAATTCAAGGCATAACGCTCTGGTTGGACGCACGTTAGAACCTGTCAGAGTTGTGTGCTTAAAGCACACAACCTAGGATAGTGTGATGCTTCCTCACTGACTCCGTGTTGCTTTTAATGAAATTTTAGGTTGAATTTTCGAAAAGTTTAGTAGCCTCGGTGGGGTTGGAACTCACGCATCGACACCGCCTACGCTATTGTACAACGCACGCTGTTCATGGGATATACGTTTGCTCAACCGATTATTGTTCTCTCAAATTATAGCACTCTTTTCGGATCCATCAGTGACCATCGAGTGTCCGATGACTGCCCTAATGAAACATGATACTCTTCCAATTAGAAGTGGGACTCTCACTGTTACTAATATTCCGGGTATAGTGCCATCTAATTCAATGTTGCTGCAAGTGGAGAAGTTTGATAGGACAGTCAACTGCTATTCCATCTCCATAAATCTCTAGTCTCCCAGTGAAACAACTAAGAGGAGATGGGAGCGTCCGGTGACAGTTAGTTTGCTCGTATGACTCAGTATGATCCATAACAGCCATACATCACATTTATTATAACTATCCTCTTCACTGATCAGAGAATACTTTCTGTTGTAAATATTCTTGTTAGCTCCACCAGGCAAAGTACAGTGGCCGCTTATAAGCATATTTACTCTCATCATCATCGTACACTGATGATGATGATGATGATGATGACATTTGCTCTCATGCTCAAATCCCGTCAATTCTTATCTGGTTGAATTGCTTGAAGAGGTGTGTATACACAATTAGACTACGTTCCCTGTATATTGTCCATAGAGGTTCACTTTCTTTTCCCTTGTCTCCAAATAAGTTCACTCCGCGTCCACCTTGCATAGTAGTACTTTCTGTGTATATTAAAAGTTTGGCAGTAATCAGTGAAGTTCGCTTCGCTGTATTTCGCTGTCATGACGATGATTGTTGTAACTTCATCCAATGTTTGACTTCTTTTCATTCAGGTAAATTAAGCAATCTGTGACTTGAACATCATTTTGGTTAGGTGTGAATGATGTTCAGTCGTCAGATAAATAAGCATTGTTCGTTTATTCTCTCCATTGTTCTCTGAATACACGGCAATTAAAAAATTTTCCGCTGCAAAGGTTTGTTTTATAGAAGTTGCTGTGCGGATAGATTAAATGTCAAATTTGGGCGCATGAAATTGACGTGAAACGTGGTGCTTCTGTCAGATAGAGAAAGAAAACGTTGTATATCAATACCGTTAACACTTAAACTCTTCACACTTATTCTTTGAACCAGTAATATGTTAAGAAATTACTGTACAGGGCATCGTCGTGGTCCATTCTCTGTCACTTCATCCATAGTCTTGCTCATCGATTCTGGAACTTTACACATCCTAATAAAAGAAAGCTGTTTAATTTGCATAATATTTTTATTTAGTAGTTTTCATCCATTATCTCGGAGTAGTTTATTAACTTCCGCCGCCTATCGTCCACTCTGAGAAAGTCAGCTTATGCAGAACTAGGCTGCGTATCCAATTTTATGTCTACCCAATGACTATCTCAAAGAGTAAAGTCTGCTAACGAAAATTCACTACGGCTCACAGTTGTCTGCTCAGTTGCACCTACACGATTGACTCCTTATTTAGGTGTTCCTGACCGGCTTGCTCTCTTCCAACCGTACCAATTTACAAAAACAGCAGCAATCGACGTCTTCTAGTCAACGAATGTTTTCACACAAATCCGAGACCCCATAACTGTAAGGCTGAACCGATCACACCGGGGCGCGACTCTTTGAAATAAACCAAGTTGTTACGTGGACGCTTAACGTGCTTCAGTCTTGCATAAGTTGCTAGAGATTTGTATTTTCTTGTGGTCACCCCGTGCACTAGACTGCCACCATTTGTTATATGAAATTAACTACGATCGCTTCTTAAGTTTCGTGGGAAGTCTTCAGGAAATACTAATTGCTACTAGGGCACTGAAATCCCACGCTGTGATCTTTTCCATTGTGCCGTCATACTAGGTGTTTAGAAAAGGGGTGTTTGCAACATTGTTTACCTGAATATTTTCTGTATGTTGCCTGTCTGTGGTTGACAAACTTTAGAGAAACTTTCAATACTTGTGCCCTGGTTACTTTTCTGAGTTCAGTTTTAGCTCCTTATGTTTCCACTGTGGGTTGACGCGAAACAACTCGAAATGTGCCAAATAAAGAAACGGTGTATAATCATTATTGGACAAAATTCAACACCAGCTAGCTCCCAGTAGCAAGCACCTTGATTTATTCAATGTATCCAGCTAACTTCGATAGTCCGGATATGTATGCCTGCTTAAAATAACCCCAGCTGCATTTTTATTTTAACCCACTGTTCTTATTGAGTTGCAGTAACAAGACTATATCACCAGCAATACTATTTCCCTGTCCCTGTACTTTTTGTTCTTTGGTAACCAAAACACGACAGGTTTACACAATAAATCCGGCGTTCCGCGCAGAATCTTCACACACACGCAATCATTTGGCTGAATTCTATATGCTCGAAGCAGAGTCAGTTCGATTGGATACGGTTGAACATTTGTGTGCGGAAATTGAATCCCTTACCCGACTGTTGATGTTGCGATTTCTCGAGGAATTCACCACACGAACAGATTCCGGCGTGGATAGAAATGAGCAACCACACACTTTTTCCGCTAAAGTAAGCAGCATTTTTTCCATTTTCAGCTTGCTTTCGTTTAGTAATACTTTTACCAATCATGTTTTGTAGTGCATCAATCGTCCTATCTTTTCTCCACTCTATCATCCCATCTTCGGGGCCAAGTTAACTCTAAGTAGCATTTGGCTCGGTTCAGTGATTTCTAGGGGAATGTAATTTTATGAAGTAAAACACAAACACACCATGGATCGCTTATTTAAGGCCCACTGATCACCATTTCTAGTGATCAACACAATTGACTGCATTAAAGTATATCTATTGTTTTTATACTTAAGGCTGAGGATTGTTTCTCATGAAAGAGTTCATTTCTAATACGCTAGCAACCGATTTAGCAGTTCTGTTCCGGTCAAGTTTTAAAAATGAAAATTCTCTCCTCGAATCAGTTGTACATCAAGCGATCTTTGTGTTAAAAAATAATTTTAAAAAAATGTCTTTTTACTTCCTTTTTCTATTTATTGAATATACAAAAGTACAGTCAACTTTCAGGAAGGGGGCTGCGGCCATACAAAGGCTGACTGGGGGAATACAGATATAGGGAAGACGGGGGTCGGTGGAACGGTTTGAACCCGGACACCCAGGTCACTAGTTGGTGGCCTAACCACTTGGCCACCACCGCCCCGTTGAGAAAAAATGTGTTTCTCTCTTTGGGGACTCAAGGGCCGTACTATTCATCCAGATAGTTCTGATAATAACGTGGTTTGTACTTCTGATCTCGTATACCTGACAATGCGAAATGTATTCGTTGTGAAGTTTAGTTTCAACTGTATCTTAATGGAGCACAAACACCTCATATTTATCTGCACTTGCACTGACTAAAGATCAGTGGGATCGGGTTCAGAGACGACGCGAAACACGAATGTATACCAGACCAAAACGCAATCGAAACTAGTGTTCTAGTGATCTGCATTTCGTGTTTCCGATTTAAGGTGAACTACGTCAATAACCTACTTATAAACTCCAACATATACCTATTTACTCCTAAAATCGATGATCAGCTACGTAGTTTTTCTTCATTGTTATCGTTTCCCTTGAATCTTACCACTCCACTGTAGACTCATATTCTTTATCGTTCAATTGAATGCAGTGAAGCGAACTTCTTTGTTGACTGCCACCAATCAGCATGTTTGTGGAAACATAGGTATCAGGTCCTGTTACAAGAATTTCTACTTCCTCTTATTCGAGTGACGAATTTCTCGATTGATGCTTTTCTCGTTTTCACCAGCTGTCCTTTTCCCTATTGCAGCGTGATTTGGCCCTGGTCAACTCTGTTTTAGCCTGCGAAGACGAATCGTGCTCATCGCAATCTCACTCACAAGATTCCATCGTCTCACACCTTTCCTCGTTGGAGTCTTCACTCAGTAGACCGTTTGCGCGGGTTTCTTTTGCAGAAGCATGTGCTCATTTAAAGCGTCCAGTTGATGTGCCCATCGATTTGACGAAAGAAGAAGAGCGGAAAGTTCTCGCCTGGATGGGTGAAAACAGGCCAGTATTCCTGACGCATTTTCCTTGTTCGCTCAAGCCTTTCTACTGTCAATCCGTTGATGGAGCGCATACNCGTCGACTTATTAGTTCCCGGTGTTGGCGAACTGGTGGGTGGAAGTGTACGCGAAACATGTGCTGATGCACTGAGAAAACGGTTAACGGCTAATGGTACAGATGTTCGGCATATGGAATGGTATATCAACCTGCGTGGACTTGGAGGTGCACCACATGGAGGATTTGGTTTAGGTTTTGAACGTTTGCTTCAATTCCTCACTGGTGCCTATAATATACGAGATGTGATACCGTTTCCCAGAGTGATGGGAAAA